CCTGAGCCAACCCAATCCTTCACGTTGTGGATACCCCACATCTTCAAACCAGATTGTAACATCTTGATATTCCTTCAGAATTCAGATGTCTTCTGTTGGTTCTTATGGAGAGTAAGAGAGAATCATGATTGTCCGGGAAAGAATTGGCAAATCAAATTAAATGTGGTCTGGAATTCACAGACTTGAAATAATGCGTCCCGATGGTTCTGAATTCCATTCCAAAGAAGCAAGAAATATGAGATGCTTAGAGATAGATTGTTAAGAAAAAAAAAGAGAATGAGATGCTAGAGAAAGACCGTGTGAATACCAATATGCGGACGTGGTTGATTGACAAGTCATGAATGAACACGTTAATGTTCCGGTACACATGGGGCCCACATGGTATGGACTCGTCCCATGTCTGTTCAACGTACGCTGACATATTCACTCATGACTGGTCACTCTATCAAATTCCCACATTTGTGTCCGCACACTCCACACCTGATCCAGATTCGTCCACAAGTTATTTGACGGTTTTTAGGGGCTGAATGATATAAAACAGGAATCACACACAAGAACTTCAAATCAAATGAGCAAGCCTACAACATATTTTGTGTAGGTTTACTCTCGCCAACATGAAACCTTACCAAATTGAATTTGCTTCTCTCACTTTTGCAAATACACCTGTCTTTGATTGCAGTGTAATTTTATTTGCGCTAGTACAATTGTATAGGATTATAAATTCTTGTGTTATTTGATCACTGCAATCAAATAAAATAAGTTATATTGCATTTTATTCTATTTTATATCTTAATTTATTTTATTTATATTGCAATCAAATAAAATAAGTTAAAATTTAAAACAAAAATAGGCCAGAATTTATATTCAAATCATTTGCACCGCCATAGTTTTGCATCAATGTAAATTTATTTACACTGCAATCAAACACAGCTTACATGTCTTGTGTTATACCATGAAGCAATTAATGCGGTTGATTCACGATTTTACTTCACAATGCAGTTTCTACATTGTAGTCACACTCTAAATAGAAATATAAGATTGTATTTGGTTTGACAAAAACAAGAGAAAAACAGAAAGTTGAGGGTTTATTATGTAGTTAGGCCTTATATTTATCAGGGGCATTCTTTTTTTTTGGATTCTGAGAGGGGGGAAAGCTGGTCAATGGGATTTTGGTTCCCATTGACCAAGAATCCCATGCTTTTTCAGATTTATGTGGGGAACAGGAAAAGTTTATTTTCCTAGGTATCACTTATCCAACATCTCCTAGGTGGGTAAAAAACTTTACCACTTAGATGGAAAGTTGTCAACACTTGAATAAGACAAAAATGATATTTTCAATAATAGATTATTATGGATAAAATGGCCATTGCCTTATTTACATGTGAAATAAAAGAACATGGATAAATGCACTTTCCTAGATAAGTGTTTTTCAGGAAAAACTTATCCAGGTAACAACATTTACCCGAATAAATAATTTACCGAAAAGCGAATGGGACCTTAAGGTTTTCCTAGCCCCCTCATATGGAGGTGGGACCCAATCATGTGCCAAGTTGTGAGACCATGACCGTGTGTTTAATGGAGTTGCTAATATCACAAAACTTGGGGATCACAACTTATGGAGATCATGGGATCGTTGTTGGTGGACCTCGCAAGCAAGTTGATCTCACGCTAATTGGATCTTGTATCCAATCTTATGGATCTTCTGGGCCTAGCTACCTAGATTTCACATTAGTTCTTTCATCGAGTTCGTGACGTTCTGCATTCTGCTACTCTACATTTATAGTATTCCCAAGATGCTGGAAGATGAATTGTCATCTTTGTGTATAAATATGCATGTGAGCTTCATTTATGTGGATCAACATTTAGTGAATAATTGTAAGGTTATCCTCTTGTATTGAGAACATTGTCATTCCATTCTTTTGGAATTGTGGAGATTTTGCTAGACTAGTATTCCGTGCTTTTTTTTTTTTGTTGGTTTCCTTTGTAATTTTGAAGCGTTCTACATTAAAAGTGTGTGTTCTGTTCTAGGTTTCTTACTTCTTGCATTGTTTAGCATTTGTGCTCCTTCATTCTTAAGTTGTAGTCGGTACTTTTGCCACTTCTACTTGTAATATTTTAAGTTGGTCAATAAAAATTTTATAAATCTATATATATACATATTACAAATGCTTTGAGTTATCAATACAATATTGGGTACCATTGTTGTTTCTTCCTTCAAGAATATTAAATTTGGTGTTTTTACGATAAATGCCAACATTTAATACAATGCCGATATTTTTTTAGTAGAAATGATTATGTAATATGATGTAACAAGACAATCACTTCTCAAAATTTTATATTAACCAATACAAAACGTTGCAAGTAGAAGTGACAAATACCAAACACAACCTTAATATATACAGTATCAAAGCCTTCTTGGATTCCCAACAATGATTTCCATTGATACCTTATTAACATGAGATATGACGTATAACGTCATAAGATAAATTATAAAGTTAAAACATGAGTGTCGTGTGAGGGAGAGTGCAAGAAATTTACAAAGTATATATGGAGTGACAAAACTTCTATTCTTTTGATTAGCAGGATAATATACACCTCATCTTTGGTTATCTAGAAAGAAAATAAAAACAAAAAGTTGCATTATTGTTAGGTTGGCCAAACTTGTAGAACTGAATTTGTATTGGCTCCCACGGAGCTCACCCCACTCCTGCCCCATAGTATATCCCAACCAGGACTATTCAATCATTCTGGTAGCAACTCAATCATTCTAGTAAAACCCAAAATCATGTGGTTAATTTCATCTTTTTAAGGGTCGGGGTGGTGAGGTATCTTGTGTGGCTGTGTGGCAACTTTAAAGGTTGTGGAATCGGTATCAATTAAGCTTATTCTCATAGATACCCAAACGCCGTCTTAGTCAAAATATTAAGGCTTAAAAGGATCTTAATTTGGGTGCCAAAAAGATCCCATTGCACTTTCAATTAGAGGTGTCAATTGGTCTGGATTTGGTCCAACCCAATCCAATACAAAGTGAGTCTATTAACAAATGGGTTGTATCGGGTGTCAATTGGACTAGATTTGGACTGGATTGGTCCAACCCAATCCAATACTAGAGGTGTCGATATGTATTGTGCCGATGATTTATCGATACGCCCCTCTAGGGGTTGTATCGGGTTGTCTACCAGTTCAGATGGTAGCAGGGCCTTAAACTGACCCCCTAAACCACTTTCAAAAAATAAATAAATAAAACATAAAAAAAAAAGTATTGATACAGGCTGATACGCCTTACCGGTGTATCGACTTGTGTCGATATTTAGAACCTTAATTCTCACTTCTAATTTACTTGTGTCGATATTTGAAAATAGAGAAGTGACTAAGGAGTAAGCACTATTAGTATTTTTCACCCACTGTTTTTTCTTTATTGATATTTTTTGAAGGGCCTACACAACGGGATAACCCATCCCCCAACCCATAACTCCCTCAACCTAGGTGTAGGCGGGATTCGATCCCAAGCCTCTTTTACGACGTATAGGAGACCTTATCAACTAACTGGTTGTTGAACTACTGGTTAGATCGTTTGACCCATCACCCAATAATGATTCTGGTTCAGATTAATCTTACCGTCATTACTTAAAAAACCATTGACGTAGTCATTTGACCATGTTAGTAGGTCAAAGTTTACAAATTATACCATGGGTTTGTTCCTTTTTGGATTTTTAGAGGGAGAAAGTTGGTCAATGGGATTTTTGTTCCCATTGACCAGAAATCCATGTTCTTTTGTTAGATTTATGCCAAGAAAAAATTTATTTTCGTATCACTTACCCCCATCTCCCATGTAGGTAAATAACTTTCTCACCTTGGAGAAAGTTGTCAATATTTTGATAGAATAAAAATGCCCCTTTTAATAATCTATTTTTGTGGTTAAAATGATCATTGTCTTATTTACTTGGAAAATAAAAGAACATGAATAAATGCACTTATCCAAGTAAGAACTAACTGAAAAAGTGAATGTATATGTTTTTTGGATTTGACTATGATACCAAAAATAATTGTAACTAATTGGGCTTGGTTTTCACATGTTCAAAACCCTTCCATTATCATTAGGGGTGTAAACGGTATCCTGAGTATTTGATTTCGAATTTGATATCCAAAATAAATGAATCAAATTCGAATAATTCGATTAATTTAATAATCAAATTTAAATTAAATTTTAATACCGATTAATTTATGAATCGAATTCGAATATAAGCTTATTCGATTCGATAAATATTCAAATTAGATTAAATATGATATATTGTATTACGTGTTTTGTACTCTTAATATTCTTAACTTTTTTAGAAAAAGTATTAAGTGTTATTGAGACTAAAAGATACAACGGGTTCTTTTTAGAAAAAGGACAAAATACATTAACAATACAACAATTTAGTGATTATTATATTATTTTTCTTCATCAAATCACCCATTAACCCCTCCCTCTCCCCACTTCACTTTGATAGTTTGACGAGACAGTTTTTTCTCCCCATCTCCTACCTGCAACTCTTAATAGAGTAGGTAACTATGGCTATGGCCAAACGATCAATAGAGCGAAGTGAGAAAACCACTAATGCCATGGATTGTTTGAGACATGGTTTGCAAAAGCGGATTAGACCGGACAATCGGATAGAAAAAACTGGAAACTGTCAGGTTACTGGTTCTGTTTCACCCCAGAACCGTTATTTTCTCAAAAATCATTGATTTAGTTAGAAAACCGTCTAATGGTTTGGTGGTTTTTTTTTTAATTTTTTTGTCAGAACAAATCATCCATTTGATTCAAACAATCAGACTGTTCAATCTAGAAACGGGACCCTTAACCAGTCCGTTGTCCAGTTTGGTTTTAAAAGCCTTAGTTTGAGAAGTCTCAGGTGTGGCCCGTTGGGGCGGTTTTAAAACACCTCCGAGGACAGAAGTCTTCTAATTGGGCGGACTCGGGTTGTACTTTTGTCAAAATTTGAATGGACCGATTATAAACAACCTCTTTTACATTGTATTACATTACTAATAATTCCCAACTTGTGGAAAAAAAAAAGTCCCAGCTTGTGCTTGGACATTCACAAAATACTGTTAGTTTCTGTTACAGGAGCTTCCAAGCTCTACCTCCTTCCATGTTTAGCTTCTTAAGTCTTCCAAAAAACATGACCAGAATAAGGATAGCCTTCCCCTTGTTGCTCCATCTCCCCACAAATCCATACCATGAATCCTTGCAGAGGCTGTCAGGCTTCAGCTGCCGTTTGCAACTGTAACCTGTTGTAAACCCCACATTTCCATACGCACTGCAAGCCATTTGCACTCACCAAAGTTAGAGCCCCAAACTGGAGAACAATATTGTATGAACATGACAATTGGAACGATGTTAGTAGAGAAGGATTTAGGGGCAAACCTGATAACTTCAATTACAATGTTAAACACTGAAAAGTTGAGGGGATCCTCCTCAATTCTTTTCCTCTCTGTAAAACAAATTAGGATGATAGATATGGCCAAATAGGAGAGTTGTGAGAATATTAGATTCTCCACATTAATCCTCCCCCATCTAATTTTCCTCTTCTTACAGCTTCTCGAAGACTGTTGATCATCTTTGATTGGTAGAAATGAAGTATAAGCAGGAAGATACCTGCAGAACAAGTTGATCAAGGGTCACTAATTATAGTATTCCAGTATGAAAGGGAACACTAATTAATCTCAAGCATAAACTATATTTTTAATGTAAATATGTAAATATGTAGAGTGTAAAACAGTCCATATAAATTGTAAAGTTGGGTTAATTTTGCATTGATAAATTTACCTTCTTACCAAATAGATTTTTAGCTATAATAGATGCAAACACTAATTCCAATAAAGCATATGCTTTTTTTTATCAAAAGTCTACTTGAATGCAAACACTAATTCCAATAAATATAATGTTACCAAATACAGGCAAAAATGAACCAAAGTGTAAATTTACCCTGAACCGAGATATACACTCTATTTGCATCGTTTCCAAACGCAGCTTTAGGGGAAACAAGAGGAACAATTTGTGTTCCAGTACAAATTTGTACAAATCCAACATGCTGAGCCTTGATTAGCTCCTCAATCATCGGTGATGGTCAGATATCTTATTTCTATTTTTTTAATCTTTTAGATTTAAAAGCAATAAAATATATAATAAATAATCAATGCCACCCATACATACATAACACCTTACATGCTTTTATTCTTATGGAATGGGCGAACTAGTTGGGTGATTTAATAGAATCTTTCATATTGGATTAATTTCTGCTTAATTAAAACCCCTTGCCACTTGGCCAAACAACCTAAATAAACTTGCTCTTTGGAGCATATTACAATAAAAAAAAAAGAAAAGAAAAGAAAAAAAACCCTCAAAACTGTGGACTTCTTGTGATGTAGACTATAGGAATGAAGACATAGCTGATCTAGATTTTCTCTTATTCTATGGACGCGGTTGCCACATGGCAAAACTGGGAGTTTTCATCCAACAAGTTCCCCACTTAAACTGATTTGGACACGTTATTACTTGTAGTCTAATTTTCTGTCCCTTTGTGGAATTAACTGTTGCTTTCAGCTTGGCAATCATGGACCAGTATTTCAACTATTATGTTTTCACCAGGAATTGACCATTTATCATTTTCAGTAACTGAGATGGTATTATTATAAGAAAGAAAAACAAAGTAGATTTTTAAATTAATTAAAACTACTGGTGAATGAGATCTTTGACTCCTAATTTTGCATCTGGTTCCCACAAAAACTAGGCTGGAGGCTTGCGATAGTTTGGGCCAGAAGGTAACAGCCCAGAAGCGATAGGGCCTGGTGAGAAAATAAAAGATTTGAAGACCCTTTTACAAGGAGAACTCTGAGCAAAGGAGATTTGAAGTAGGAATCTGAGGACTTGATGGGCCGATCGGTCTCGTTTGTTTGCCCGTGGTTGGTGTTTCGGTGTTTGGGCCACGGGTGGGCTTTTGTAGTTGATAGCCATGGATTACTACTGAATCAAGGGGACTCTGGTTGTTGTTTCCAAATTCCAATCCTTTGTGTCATTGTGTCGGCTTGGTTGTTTGAGGGGCCCAGCTGCTAATTAAATAAACTTTTTTTTTGTTATAATAAAAAAAAAGGTCATTTTTTAGAACACCCCCTATAATTTTACATCTTTACTTAAACCTCCCTTATAGTTTTCATTTTACTAGAACACCCTCTATAGTTTCATAGATTTGCCTAAACCTATTCTATTGATTTCATTTTATTAAAACATCCTCTATAATTTGCAGCCTACTTGCTTACTCGACGTTTAACTAAGAAGTATTTTGTTTTTCCATTTGAGAATAGTAACATTATCACCTAAACTAAGTGGAAAAAGTTTAAGGGCATGAGCTCATGATTGTTTACTTCAAGAGTACCCATAATACTTCTTTGTGCAGAAAATAAAATTGACCAAATAGAACCCAATAGAGTGGTTGCATGTGTCCTATTAGGGGCTAAAATGGTATTTTCATTTGTATTCTTTCTTTTGATTTAATTTTTTTCAAATGGATGGTAGGGTCAAATAAGTAAATCAATTGCAAACCATAAGAGGTGTTTTAGTGAAATACAAACTATAGGGTATGTTTTAGTAAATCTATGAAATTATAGGGAGTGTTTTAATGAATTACCCTAAAAAACGAACATACTTGCTATCTTAGTGCCCGTTTGGTAATATTGAATTGCAGCAACTCCTGGCTTTCTAAGGAGGGACCAACATGAACAGTTTATAAACTATGATCAAAATCCGGGGGGACTGTCCCTTCATCCTATTCGAATAGCTTATCCATAATGCTTCAAAGCATTTAAACCAATTTGGTTAAATTTTCATCTCAAGCCTACCAAACGAACCCTTAACCAAAATCTAGTGGATTTTCATCCTTGCACACGGAAGCACGAGATTGTGCAGTTAAAGAGGTTGTTGAGACTTGAGAATACTATTGTAATCTTGTAGGGCTGGTACTTGAATAATTTTGGCTCCACTAATGAAAGATTGGGGTTCGATTATTAGGGGCCCATAGGCCCAGAACTATTGATGTTGTGTTCTAATTTCAACTGTATCGCTATAAATATGTGGTATACAGCTAATAAACACTATCTACTGTTAATGTAAGGAAATACCATATTTAGACACTTAGTATGTCCCAGATTGCAGTCTATGGTCTGGACCTGGACTCATCTGGATGAAAAAAAAAAAAAACTGGGAGGGATGGTCTGTCGTTGAATGAGGAAAACCCTCATTAAATCCATCTTTTCAATTAGGGATGACAATTTCTACCTTATCTAGTGGGTATTTATTTTTATTTGGATGGGATGAATTTTAGAATTTTACAACCTGTATGGGCATAGGTAAAATACGGTATTAGGTTAAATCCAATCCTCCTTGATCCACATATTATTTAAAAGCATATAAATTTTATATATTAAGTGTTCAATTTAATAATATTTTGAATTTTATGTAAAGGATATTAATACTTTATGTAGTTTTTATGTCTTAATCAAAATAACCCGCTACGGGTTAGGAGGTTTAGGGAGGAGAGTAGGGCCTAAAATTTACAAAACCCTCCCCCAACCCACCAAATTGCCATCCCTATTTCAAACGCTTGTCAGCATGAAATTTTGCCATTTCAGGTAGAAAGAAAATTAAAATTGATAGAGAACCACCCGAGGATAGAATCTGTATAGGTCTGTGTGCAGGTGTGGGTGTGCCAGAGAGAGAGAGAGAGGACTAACATCATTACGACGAAAAGGACCAAGATGGCCGGCGAGATGGAGGAGAGATCGACAATGGATTCACCGGTGTGCCTGGAATTCACCGCCTGAAACAGGGAAGCCACCACCTTCTGGAAAGGATTCAACCCATCCAAGCTTTCTGAGTTCCATTCCATAGAAGAGAAAACTACAAATTGTAGCAGTAAAAACCAGAAAACAGTGACAACCAGACAACGAGCGTGCAGACTAGGGAGCAAGTGAAAGTATTTCATCTCTTCTGAATTCTTCAACATGTAATTGAATTCATCCCTCTTACTAATCCTCCCTAACACCCATATCAGAAATCTCAAGCAAGAAGGGAACAATGCATTCCCCAGAAGGGCCTGAGGGATGAGAAGTAGCAAGAGTCCATAATTCTTCCTGAAGATCAACATGTTCTCGTTTGTGGGGATGAAACCGCAGTTGGCAAAGGTGGAGACAGTTGTGAAGACACAGAATGTAACAAATTGAAGTCCTTTGTTCTTGAGTACATCTCTTGCACTTGAGACAAGGCTTACATATACTGCAACCAATGCAGATCCAGCTACATGAACCACTAGAAGATAACACTGAATGACAGAAATCAAACACCTTGTTGAATTATATCTCAGATCCTCACTGAACAGAGACTCCACTTCAGACACCAGGTCAGCTTTGCTTGGTTTCCTCGTCTGGACCAACCCCAACTCGATTTGATCGACGGGATTCGTGGGGCTCAGATCAGCAGACTCATTACTACTCAAAGAATCGACTCTGTTATCGATCATTGCCGCATTCTTCTCCATCTTGAAAGTGGCAAAATGGAGCCCAAGCATTGAAGCAAAGACCTCCCCTCCTACAAGCATCAAAATGGTTAAGACCACCAGCTGGGTATTGGAGAAGACTTCCATTTCGACGGTCGACATGCTCGAAATCGTCGTCGCCGACACGGAAGTGAAGAACATATCCAAGTCATTGGGCGTAAATGAACTGGGTTTTGGATTCAGAAGCTTCAGAATTAAGAAGCCAACGAAGGAAACAGAGACGAAATAAAAGACAAGAACAAAAAATGGGTTTACACGAAACAGAATGAAGCGAAACCAGCGGACCAATAGACCCCAAATTGATCTGCTAAAACAAGCTATCTTGATATATGAACAGCTGCAAATTTGGTTTAGTTTCTTCTTGAAAGAAGAGAAGCTCTTCATTTTGGCTTCAATGGAAGCAAGATAACGTTTCTGAGACAATTTAAAATAATGTGTGTCGGGTATTTATAGAAATTCTCTTACGTCTTGTTACTTCAAACATTGGAAGCTGTATGCAAATTATTGAGTGACACAAGGCATCACATGGGCACTTCCCTTGCTTTTCATCCATCGGTCATGATCAACCAATTACATTTTCTTTGGGAACTTTAACATTTTACACCCTCCTCCTTTATATAAGACAAATTCACATAATTAATAAAATATAAAAATAAAAAGATAAATGTTTTCAAATTATGTTGTAATGCTATTTACATTAAAAACAATTGCGTATATAAATGTTGTAGGTTATAAAAGTTATTAATATAAAAAAATAATGAAAATAAAATTATGATAATTTTGACCAGTCGATTAATTTTAAGACCGAGCATCTTAATTCTTAAAGAAGATCTGTTCAGTCCAATCTATTTCTAAAGATAAAAAATTGAAAAAAAAAAGTATTTTAATTAAAGCTAAATAAGGTCAATTTAGATTTCAACTTTTAAGAAATAGAGATGATTAATCTACAAGTGTGTAATTTGACTGATGTTCGGGCAGTAATCATCACTGACGGCCTGATGATCCACACTAATCCTCTTCCCCCTTTCATTTTTTAGGAGGTTTTCATCTTCTGATTGAAGTACGAAATCACCAACTTTGAGTAGCCTTTGATTGATCAATCCTCTTCCCCCTTTCTCTGTGAATCGGTGTCTTTCTCAACAACCCGAATCCGGCCCAGTAGCCTTTTCCTTTCCTTTTCATGTATTTTAGTTCATGAAGCTTCAGGATTCCAGGGTAATCCCCCTGGCAAATTATGGATCATGTGAGACTTACCAGGATTCCCGGCGGTTGATTAGTCCAACCGGAATCATTCAAGTTGGTAGTTAGTACTCTGTTGATGCATAACACACCTCTATAATTCTTTATGAGAAGGAACTAGCTAGGATTTAGGAAGTATTAATTGGCCATGCTTAGTGTGGCCAAAGAAGATGTTAAACGGCTAATCATTATTTCAATGTGGGTCCTACACAAAAGGTCCCACAAATTATTTCAATGTGGGTCCCACGCAAAGGTGGGCCAGTATTGTTATTGAGTTTGGATTTTTAACAATTTTAAATATTGTCAAACAGCTTGAGCCAAATAATTGAGCCTGTTGTTAAGGTACCTACAGTATATATATATATATAAAGAAATAAATCTAGAATAAATACGAAGAATAAAAGAATCATAAAATAAATTTTAATTAATCTTGTTTGTTAAAATTTTGACATTAATTATGTATTTTTTTAGAAAGGCTCTAATCAAATTCAATGAATCAAATTAACCTCAAAAGATGGGTTCTACAAGAGATTAGTGAACTATGGCAGTGTTTGGTTTGGAAGGAAAGAAGGGAAAAAGATAGGAAAACCTATAAAAACCATGAACAGGTTTCTCTGTCCTTACCTTTTTCCTTCAAACCAAACACAGCTATGCATATGTAAATTATTTAATGCAATACACCCTTAAATTAAAACATGACAATTGGCATAAGATAGAATCTTCCTAATTAATCCTTACACAAGAGAATTTCAATATACAACCTTCTATATCTCTGAACGGTCCATTAATGTTAAATTGGTTTATAAAAGATCATTCGGATCATATTCGAAAGGCATTTGGGTTCAAATTTGTCTTATTAACAAGGGATAAAGAGACTCATCTTGGGTTTATTTTTGAACCCAAACAAAACATTTTGTCCCTTGAAAGAATTTTTGGTAATTTAGCCTTTTCACTAAACGTAATTTTTGCTATCTTAGTAAGGTTTTCTCATCCATCCCTATTGTGAAAGTAGAAAAATGGGTTTCATTTGTGCTAATAAAAAAGGTATAAAAGGAAAAAAGGAAACAAGTAAAATTTTTAATTATCTTTTTAATTATTATTTTTTCTTAATTTATTCTCTTTATTGGGATTCTCTTTAAGATTGAATTGTTGTTGATTGATATTCCCAAAGGAAGTATATATTGTATATCAAAATATTCTGAAAACATGTAGGAGAGTAGTTGGAATCCATAATATTCAAATTAAAGCATCCCTTCAAGGCATCAGCAAATCAATAAAGGTTCCACTACTTGAGATTCTAACCATTTAATCTCATTGCATTAATAATTGGATGGTTGAAGAGGTTTCTCTAAGGTTATGTTTGGTTTGAAGGAAAAGGTAGGGAAAGGAAGGGAAAGATAGGTATACAAGGTTTGTAAAGGTTTCCTTACCTTTTCCTTCCTTTCCCTACCTTTTCCTTCAAACCAAACATAGCCTAAGGCTCATTTCGTTTCTCGATACCTTTTCCAAGTCAATAGGTAACTTTTTCACATGGGGAAGTTATAAAAATACTATTAGATAAAATTTCCCCTTCAAGATTTATGGATATAAATGATCAATTTATTTAAGACAAAATTATTCTAATTTAGCAGTTAAATTTCTGACAGTTATGGTTACGGATGATTAAAATTATGGTGAATCATGCTTGTATTTATACCTCTCTTTCAATGGTTGGAGATGCGCTCATTTATCTCTTCTATTAGTGATTCTGCCTCACCATTTGTCTGTTGCAGAAGTTGCTTCATTTTCTTCTTTATCCACTGTGAATATTTTGTTCTTGCTAATAGACTTGTATTCTTGCTTGGTTCTATTACTACTTCTCTATTTTTGTAAAATATTTTGTACTGTCTTACTAGATACTGTGATCACTGCTTTACATTTATACAATTTTCATAATTGAATGAAATATGACGTTTCACATTCAAAAATCTTATCAGGGAGATTGGGAAGGGTAGATGGAATAAGGTCCTAACCTTTAGCATTTCTTTGCATAAAGGTTCCCACACTAAGTAATACCAAATGTAAATGATTACTAACTATAGATTGAGAGAACCAAGAATGTTGAACAGATGCCTCTTCAAGCTGTCATCCAGATCATTTTGCAAATTATTCTTCCAAAGTTCAAATGGGACATGACTCAGCTTCTTTGTAACAATTATCTAATGCTGAATGGCCAAACTCCAAAGGAAGAGAAATTATGCAATGTAACTGTAATATTTAATATTTAAAACTACATTATCAATTTACAAAATTTAAAGGCATAACTATTTTCATCACAGAAACTTGAAAAAAAAAAAAACTATTGAGTCTTGTAAACTTATTCACTTTAGTCTTATTTGACAAAGCCCATTAAATAGTATATAAGCCCCTCTAGTTGAATTGTCTAAATCAATGAACAATGAGCATTAATGGAAATGCAATCTGATGAATCAATTTTTTGTCATGTATCAATCTTTTGGCTAAGTACCTCATCATTTGATCTGCTTCCAAGTGGCCGATGACTCAGAGGCCGAAGTGGAGCTACCTAGTTGTCGGGGCTACCTGTGAGGTGCTGATCTTCCTGTGAGGTGCCGAGCTGCCTATGAGGTGCTGGGCTGACCAGGTAGCAAGCTGCCTGTGAGGTGTCGGGCTGACCATGTGCAGGGCTGCCTGTGAGGTGCCGAGCTACCTAGGTGCCGAGCTGCCCAGTTGGCGAGCTGGATTGATGAGCTTCGTTGCTCTTTAGAGACCTGCAAGGAACCAAATGTTAGAGGACCCGAGGTGGCTAATCCGGCGAGGTTGCTCCGATGCTTAAGTCAATACTCTCATAGTAGACTGCGAGCTAAAAATCACAAAGTATGAGAGCAAGAATTTTCTTACTTGCTTGCTTTCTCACTTCTGGGGTTGGTGCCTTTATATAGGCATTGTTGGGCATGGGCTTCACACACCATATCCGAGATTTCTGCGAGGTCGTCTAAGTGGTTCAAGATTCCTAGAGGTAACCGCCATGCACATTGACCACCCTCTAGATCGTTCGGCATGTGGGCCAACTTCCAAGGATCATGGGAGTGTTTGGATATGCATGCTGAATTCGTCGGTGAGCACGTCTTGCAAGTCGCCAGGTCGGCACATGTGCCAAGCTGCCAAGTCGGTGCCTGTGCCAGGCCGCTAGGTTGTGCCTGTGCTAGGCTGCCAGCTCGTGCTAGGGCCAGGCCGCCAGGTTGGTGCCTGTGCCAGGCTGCCAGGTCGTGTCTGTTCTAGGCAGCCAGCTCGCACCTGGGCCAGGCCGCTAGGTGGGACACCATCAACTTGGCTAAGGCAAATTGTTGCCAAAGTGGTTTTGGGTGTCACCTAACTGTTCCGAGGTGCCATGTGTCACATTATCATTGGAGGGCCAAATCCACCCTCATCACAATCCATTAACAAAGATAATACCCGTCTAGTGCTTGAAACATTGAGTAGTTCATGATTTTATTTATTTATTTTAATTTTATCATGCATTTTCAGTCCCTGCTGCTTCCCATATGATATGTCCCTTTCTAGAAGTTGGAATTAAGTTAAGCTCCATTTGTATTTGCACCGAACATATTTGTATTTGCATTCCCAAGTATCCTTGTCCTTTATGCTCAATTTGGAAAAAGTATAAATACAAATATGTACAATACAAATGCATATAAAATATAAGGCTTTGCGCTCTACATATTTGTATTAGTACTCCTTCCAAATGGAGCCTTAGGCGCTTATAAATGCTTCCTTTTTCCTTTTATCCTCGTCCACCTTATAACAATAATTTGCATTTTAAGTTTACAAATTCTAGTGAACAATAGAGTAAGCACCATGGGCCCTGTGCATAGATAGGGGCGCAACTTGGGTTGGGTTGGATTGAAAATTTGTTAAATTTCAATGGGCCCAATCCTAACCCAAGTTAGATGCAGTTGGAAATCTTCATATTGGGAATAAGAGTGCAACTCGGGTTGAACTGAATTAATATTTTACGGTCGAACTCATTCAAATTTTGTCAAATTCCCAATCCTAACTCACCTAAGTTGCACTCTTATACTTGCAGCTCCACAAATAAGGTTGCAAATGGATTGGATCAATCTCAATCACAATTGCTTAGATTCAATTTTGATCTATTGACGATAGAGA